GCTAAAAAGCAGTGATGAACGTATGAAGCACATTGCCCCATGGGAAAAACTGGAGGAAATCATGCTAAGCAAAGTAAGCCAAACACAAAAGGACAAGTACAACATGAGTCCACTGAGGTAACAAACATCCCTGGGGTGAGGACCAGGTAGTGTGTTCTGTATTTCTTTAGGGTATATACCAGGTAAAGAGATGTCAAGGTATTTATATTGGCATTTGTTTATGGAAGTTCACAGCCTACCACAGTAATTGTACAACTCTACAATTCTACTAGCAATGTCTGAGTGCTCAAATCTTTCCACATCTGCCCCAGCATTTATTATTTTATGATTTAAAAATTTTTTGCTAAGAGTGTCAGTATGATGTGGTATTTCTTTGTTGTTTTAATTTGTACTGAATAATGCATAATTATTTATGCATAATGAATGCAAACATTTCTTCATATGATTATTGGCCACTTGGATGCCATCGTTAATCAATTGTCTGTTCATGTATAGTGCCCATTTTTTATTGGGTTATTTGTAATTTTTTTATTAAGGTGCTGTAATTTTCTACAGAGTTTTTACATTAGCCCTTTACCTGAAGTATTATTGCTATTTTCCCCACAATGTATGGGTTCTTTTAAAATTCTTTTGAAGAAGTCTTTTTATATAGATAGATATCATCATATTTTCAGAAGATCCCATTCCTCTATTTTGTTTTCTGTAATTTGGGTATTTTTCATTATGTTTGGTAGTGTATTTATGCCTTGCATTGGGCCCTAAAGTTTGTTTCTATTTCTTCACTGATTGTCTTTATGGTTCTAGGGTTTATGTTAGCTCTTTTTTCCACCCTGAGTTTGTTTTTGCGCATGGTGTTAGGTATGAGTCTGGTTTCATTCTGTTACAGGTAGAGATCCAATTTTTCCAGTACCATTTATTGAAAAAGTGCTATCTAATCTCTTCTCTAATTAATGTGGTTTTTGTCTTTTATTAAAAGAGTACTTGGTTGTATTTCTGGGTTCTCAATTGTAATCCATTAGTCTTCGTGTCCATCGTTATACTAATTCCAACCTATTTTGGTTACCGTGTATCAATGCCCATTGATTGCATGTTTGATTAATTTCAGACTGAAGAAGCTGATAGAATTATTCCAGTTCTGCATCACTACCTTTAGTGTTTGGTGTATAAACTTGAATAATAGTCGTATTGACCCTATTTCCTTGTATGCAGGTAGCTATTATTCTGTTACAGGTAGCTTTGTACTTCAGGATTGACCTTGAAATGTCCCTTTTACAGACAAATGTGACATTACTCCTCTTGAGTATGTCACTCCAGACACATTGAACTATTTGATTTTCTAATTCAGAATGGCCAATACCAGTCTGCTTCATCTCACTAAGATCTAGAATGTTGGCTTTTATTTATTCCATTTCATTCTCGACAACTTCCAATTTTCCTGGATTCATTCTTCATAAATTCAAATTTAAACTATTAATGTTGGCAGCTGTTTCTTCTCCTTTGCCTCATGCCCCATCAGCAAATGAAGGTCCCGAGGCTTTAACGTCTTCAGGCTTTACTCCATCCACATCGTTATTTTGAGAAGGCAGCTCTTCTTCAGTCATATCCCTTCCAACTCATTAGGCTTATCTTTTGGCACTATCGCTAACAATGTTCTACTTCGATTCATGAAGTTTTCCATATATGACAATTTTTTATGCCATCTGTAAGGTTTTCCAGTGGCTAATTCTTGAGATTATATTTTAAATAGTTTTCTTTATCTTCTGGTGAAATTCAAAATAGCTTAGTTAACTCTTAATGTTGTAACTAAAATGGAGCAGGGGTATATGTAAAACTCACATATGAGTGGATTTTGAGCTTGCACATTACTCACAACGAATCATACTCAGTTCTTATGATGCGATCCTGTTTAATATTTACCCTCATGAGGGAATCACTGAAGATATGGATGCAATAGTAAAGTGTAGTGAATAAATCAGATGGTGCCTAAGAATAGTGTCTGAAGTTCTTAAAACAAGCAGCCCTCTAAGTGAAGTGTCAGCTAAGTCCACATCAGCCTGCATGATCCAAGAATGGTGAATAATAAACTCTACGCTCAGAGGAGGGGATTGTTTTAGAGTTCAAATTCTGGACACCCTGTTTGCAGAAGGGTAAAGATAACAGCAAAAACTCAAAATTCATTTACACTGTTCCCTTAGGGATTAAGTCTTCATTGAGTTCCCTAGGACCATTCACCAGGGATATAAATACTTTTTATTTATACCAAATTCACGGCCATCCAGTCAGTGTGGACTCACAGAGACCCTAAAGGCAGGGTCGGACTGCCCTTGTAAGTTCCTGAGACGTAAATTTTTACAGGAGTAAAAGTGTCATCTTTATCCATATGGAGAAACTGGTGGCTTTGAACTGCTGACTTTGGGGTTAGCAGTCCTCCTTGTAACCACTAAGCAACCAAGCTCATCTTATAATCTTTTTCTGTTTTGACCCATTTTTAATTTGTTCATTTTTATTATTTTCTGCTTTCTTTTGGAATGAAGTTTCTCTTTGTTTTATTTTGTTATCATTGGTTTTTAAATGATTTTCTTCATATGAAATTCCAGATAGAAAAATCTATGGATACAGTAACGACTTTAATAGTTCCTTCGGGTTATGGCAGGGCAGGTTGGAGGAAAATGAAAAGTGAATCATAATGAGCACAAGATAGAAGAAAATGTTCTCACATTGATTGTGATGATGATTCACATTTCCTTTCACTATATTCAGATAGATCATTGATTTGTGTGGTAGGTGAATTATATAAAGCCAATATAAGTCAATAAAACTTACATGTCAATGAAACTGTTATGATAAATAAAATAGCTAGTTAAGAGAAAAAATGAGAACTTTCTACTCTTCTTTTAGAACATCTGTGTTTCTATTCTTTTAGATGCTAATTCTAAGGAAACAGAATACTATAGTATATGTAAAGCACGTGCTTATAAAATTATAGGCTTTGAATTTGGGTGAAGACCCCCCTATATTGGTAATCATATTAAAAAGTCATTTTAACATATCACAGGTAATGGAAGCAATCCAAGCTGTTCTCTTGGCAGAAGTTCAACAGCAACTGAAAACCTTGAGAAAGGCACCAATCATCATGCAGCCAATGTCCCCAGCAGAGAGAGAACCTTGTGAGATGATGGTGCAGACCTTGCCAAAGCCTGAGCAGCTGGATTTGCAGTGCATTACCAGCAAGCCTCTGCAGAGTAAGTGCAAAATGTATCGGGGCGCTTTCCTGCAGAACTCCTTCTTCTATGTAGAACAGGTGGAGTATATGAGTTCACAATGCATTAATTTTAAAAGCCACTAAGTCATGTGTCTTGTATCTAACAAGCTCTATCAATGATATATTATACTGTCAGGTTGTTAAAGAACTACAAATGTTATTAAAATCAATAAGCATTTTCTAGAAGAATAATGTATATTATAAAAACCTGTTCTTTAAAAAAAGAAAACTGCTTACTCATGTAAACAATTAACAATAATAGTTTACTGGGATTTATATTACTGATAATCCCACAACCATCGCCATGATGTTTGAGATGATGGGTCCTAATTATTTTTGTCATTTTCTACTTTAATAATAACTGTGGTTCAAATTTTCTGTAATAGAATAAGAATAGTAAGACAGAAAATTGAACTGATTTTATATTTGGCCCACTTAACTTTATAACAAACTTTATCACTGTAATTTCATGATGATAATGTTTGTAGTTTATAGACAGCAAGTAAATATACATTTCTGCCTTAATTGTATTCATTTTACAGCCTATTTAGTTGTGATTTCTGAAAAAGTGAAGCAATCATTAATTTTCAATCTCATTAGCGCGTTTATTAGGAATAAACTACTTTTATCACGAGTGAAGGAGCATTTTCGTCAGACAGATGTGTTATAAACTTACATAATGTGACTGAAACTTGTGATGACATTTTGTAACTCTCAAAAAGAATTTTCTTTCTAAAGTTTTGATGTCTCAGAGAAATTTTACTGTATGTGAATTGTTAAATCTTAGAACAAGTGCCATTCTTGGAATTGTGTTATATTATTTTCTTAGTTTTACAAGACAACTCAATTGAGGGAAAACTAGCATTTGGCCTATTCAATAAAGGCCAATGATAAAAACAGGTAGAACATTTTCTAATACTAGGACAACCAATGGTAATAATAAATCTGACAAGTTGAGGAAGCTAAGTGTTCATATTAGGTCTTTTGGTTTGGATTTTTGTTCTTGTTCATTGGTTTGCTTTAATTACCTGGGAAACTCATCTATGTGAAAAGACTGCTATTTAATTATATCGCATTATTGGAGAGATATCACACTTTTCAAGCAAGAAATGGAAGAAAAATTTTAGAATTAATTTTCAGATGATTACATCCTCCTATCCATTATCACTGATGTGACTTCTTCCCATTCTCCAAAATCATTCCCATTACATCATTCATCATGTATCAGGTCTCATCAGATGGCTTTAGTGAGGCTCATTTCTATTCTTGAGTCTATCTCATTCATTAGCTCTAATTTGTTGGTAATACATTCTTGGTGGGATACCATGATAAAATTTTACAGCAGTTTGCCTATTGCACCACTTACCAATATTTGAAATTTTACTAGGTTGTTTCTGTCTAGTTCTGTCACTAGTTCATTTTCGGGTGTAAAAACTGTTCATACTATGGAATCTAGTCTTTACTTTCACTAAGCAAATGCATGTTTACACATTGCTACTATTTTCTGATAAATTGTTGACTCCATCCTCTGCCAATAGTGCTAGAAAATTGATGGTTAATTTTTTAACCATTAAATATCAAACCATTGAAAGTTTTGTTAACGTTGGTGAATGTAATTGTGAATATTTTATTTGAAAGAATAGGAGCATATTTATAAAATGCAGAGTATATGATTTCTTGGGAAGTACTGCTTGCAAGAGTATTAAATGTAGGTAAATTAAGTGGAATTTGAGTAGGAAATACATAACACACATTGAAAAGGAAAATATCCAAGCATGTTATATTGGGTATAAATATTGTCTTTTTTTCCTCTTGGGAAGGTATTTAGTTTCAAACTCTTCAGAGGAACTTCATAAAATTACAGCAATATCCTTTGGTATGTGGTAATTGATTTGAAAAAAAGCTTTTTAATTTATTTCAAATGTTCAGAGACGAAGGATTCAGATAATAGTAGCGTTATGTTTCAGAGATTCTGATTATTCCTCAGCTCTCGTAGTCAGCTATACTTAGCCTCAGTGCCATTACCATTTCTATCATGCTACCATTTTATGATAAAATGGAGGTATATGATAATCAAGTCCTTACTCATTTGTCCTCTCTGAGCTGCTTCCCCCACGCCTTAATTTTTTCTCCCCCTACTCCCTTGGTTTCTTGATTATCTGTCTCACTTGTAAATCATTTGCAAAGGTATGTGAGCTCTGTGGTGAGAGTAGCAATACCAGAGGGTGGAGGGAATGTGGGGTAGAAAGGGGGAACCGATTATAAGGATCTACATATCTCCTCTCTGGGGGACAGACAACAGAAAAGTGGGTGAAGGGAGATGTTGGACAGTGTAAGACATGACAAAATAATAATAATTTATAAATTATCAAGGGTTCATGAGGGAGAGGGTAGCGGGGAGGGAGGGGAGAAAATGAGGAGCTGATACCAAGGGCTTAAGTGGAGAGCAAATATTTTGAGAATGATGATGGCAATGAATGTACAAATGTGCTTGACACAATTGATGTAGGTATGGATTATGATAAGATTTGTATGAGTCCCCAAAAATGATTTTTAAAAATTTGGACCATAATAAACTGTGCATAATTTTGAGAGGACTGGGAATTACAGAACGCTTCAGTGTGCTCATGAGAACTTGTATATGGATCAAGAGGATATGGATGAAGATAATATGAAAACTGCAGTTAAAAGCAGGAAGGGTCTCTTTCAGGATTGTATCCTCTCACCATATTGGTTAAAACTGTAGGCTGAGCAAATACTCATAGAACTGGTTTATATGAAGAAGAACATGGCATCAGAATTGGAAGAAGGCCTATTAACCTGTGATATGCAGATGATATAATCTTGCTTGCTGAATGTGAGGGGAACTTAAACATGTGCTGATGAAGATCAAGGATTACAGCCTTCAGTGTGGATTATGACTCAATGTACTGAAGACCCAAATCCTCACGGGAACCAATCGTTAGCATCATGTTCAGTGGAGAAAATCTTGACGTTTTCAAGGAGTTGTCTTGCTTGATTCACAATCAATGCTCGTGGAGGCAGCAGGCAAGAGTACAAAAGAGATGTTGCCTTGGGTAAATCTGCTACACAAGATCTCTTCCAAGTACCAAAAAGCAGGTACGCTACATAGAGGGCTAAAGTGTGCCCGACCTAAGCCATGGGACATTCCATCACCTCCTATGCATCTGACTGTTGAACATTGAATAAGGATATGAAATGAATAAGCAATAAAAAGAATAGATGCATTTGAATTGTGTTGCTAACATAGAAGACCGGAAGTGCCATGGACTGCTGAAAGGACAAACAGATCTGTCTTGGTGTCAGTACGGCCAGAGTGCCCTTAGAGGCAAGGATGGCAAGACTTTGTCTTATATACTTTGGACATGTTGCTAGGGGACACCAGCCCCTGGAGAAGGACATCATGCTCGGAAAGGTGGAGGGGCTGTGAAAAAGGAAGGCCCTACGTGAGATGAATTGACTCAGTGGTTGTAGCAGTGGACTCAGGCATGGGAACCATTATGAGGATGAGGACGGTGGAGGCATGGCATTGTGTCATTGTTGTGCATATCGTTGCTATGGGTTGGAAACTGCCTACTTGATGGCATCTAATAACAACAACAGGGTTGAGTATATATGATTTACTAGCATTATGATATTACAAGTCATGGTTTACAAGGGAATAGTAACAATGATAACAATCATAATAACTGATCATTGACTTCATATACTCCAGCACTAAGTTGTTTGTCAGGCTTGTATAATTTCATCATATTTATTGTCTGTATGCTCACTAAATTTGAGAAATTGGACGGAATGAAATAGCAAGCAAAATCAGGACGGAAGGACTCACTGAGACTCACTAACTACTTGTGATATACAAATGACACAACTTGGCTTGCTGAAGCCTCCGGCTCACAATATGGATTACATCTGAACATAAACTACATGAAAATCCTCAAAACAGGATAATAAATGATAATGGTTAAACGAAGACTTTATCAACGATTTCATTTTACTTCAATGCACAATACACACCCTTGGAAGCAGCCATTGGGAAGGTGAATTGCATATTGCATCAGGAAAATTCGCTGCAAAAAGGTTTCTGTAAAGCATTCAAAATGAAATATGTCACTGTAAATACTTAGATGAACCTGACTCAAGCCATGGACTTTTCAATCATATCTTACACATGTAAAAGATGGTGCAAAGAAGAATGGATGTCTTTGAATTATGATATTGGTGAGCAATATAAAATCTCCATGGGTTGCCAGAAGAACTTCAGTGTTGGGAGAGGTATAGTCAAATGCTTCTCATTAAAGAGGGTGCAGAAACTTCATCTCATGAGGGGGTACCCAAAGAAAGCCAGAAAAAAGCTCCGCTGGGCAGAGCTTTCATAGTATACATTTTTCCCACTAGGTGAGCATCCAGCAACTCGCTCGGGCTTAGTGCACCCAGTGGTATGGCCTCGGAAGGTTCTTTCTGGTCACAGTGAGTAATACTGTGTAATGGTGTGCAACAAAAAAGGCCTGATTTGTGGCAGACAGGAACTGGTTTTACCACCACGACAATACACCTGCTCATGCAGCCCTCTCAGTGGGTCAGATTTTGGCGAAAAACAGTATGCCTCTCTTGCCCCACGTAACTTACTCACCTGACCACACTCCGTGCAACTTCTCTTTGTTTCTGCGAATGAAGAGAGACATGAAAGGAGAGCGATTTGAGGATGTAGATGAGGCAAAGAAAGAAGCAAGGGAGGTGCTATCAGCCATCCAAAGAGATGAGTTGGAAAAATGTTTCCAAGAATGGAATCACGGATTTGACAAATGTATTAAGTGGAGTGGAGTGCACTTTGGAGGTGATAAGGTTGTTTTGCACACACACACACACACACACAAATGAAATACATAACTTTTAAAAAAATCCCATTTTGCTGGGGTCCCCCCTCATACATATATGTAGGTGTTATCAGGAGAGATC